CTGGAAGCCCTCACTGAGCGAATCCGAAACTGAAGCCAGGTTTCATCCCTCCCCTTATATAGCCTGAGCATCCAGCCCAACAGCATCGTCTGCACGCTGTTGAGCAGGCCCATAGCCGACCGATCCGGAGGGATGGCCGCCACACACCAAAGGGCTGTCCCTGCGACAACTCGTTCCAGAAGTTGGATACGACCCTTGAGGGGACTCTTGGCCCGTAGCAGGTGTTTGATCGACCAGAATTTCTGTTTTGCACGTGCAACCAGGGGTTGTAGGAGTTCACATGCACTCATACCTTTACACAGCCGCAACCCCATGACTTCAATGTGCGACACGGAGAACAGCTGGACCCCAGCAACCTGAATCTCGTGTGGGCGTACTGTGTCCTTGCTGCAATAGAGCTGACACTTTTTCAAGTTCAGGACAAGCCCATATGTCGCAAGGACCTCCGTGAGCTGGGAAAGGCGTAGTTGCACAACCCTGGGATCTGAGTTCCATAGCAACCCATCGTCCATGAACAGAGCCCCTTCATGCTCAAAATCCGGAAACATCAAGGCCCCCTTTGACCACTCAAACCTGGCGGACGCCTCCTCTAAGGCCTCTTCCATGAGTAGGGCAAAGAAGCTAGGCGATTCCACCGCGCCCTGCTTTATTCCAGAGTCCATGTCAAACCCCGACACACCCCACGGCGTGACAAGAACCGCACGAGTGTCACACAACAATTGTTCCCAACAAGCCATTTCGGGGGTGTTCCCTAGGCGTGAGCGCAGTTTGGCGATGAGGCGAGGCCGCGACACTGAGTCAAAGGCTTTGTGCACATCGATTTTCACGCAGGTTATTGGGAGGCCCCACTCCCTGCAAAGTTCAAAGACCCTCCAAATGCTGAAAACATAATCGCAGGTTTGTCTGTGCGCACGCGCACATTGGTAGGGGCTCCGTGCGCCAAGGAAAGGCGCAGACCTGTTAAGGAGAAGCCGGGCGAACAATTTAGAGGCCCCACTCCCCATAGCAATAGGCCTCAAATCTTTCGCCTGAACGGGCGCCGGAACCTTAGCAAGGAGCACCAAAATAGATGTGTTCCAATCCTCTGGCAACTTTCGCGTGACCAACATGTTAGTAAAGTATTCGGCCAGATGGCCAGGTCCGCCCTCAACCCCCATCAACCCTCGGAACAATTCTGCACTCGTCAGATCAATGCCAACGGCCTTCCCGCTCTTCATTTGCCCCACTGCTGTTCGAATCTCATCGACAGTAAACCCTCTGACTTCCCCTTGAGTCTCCAAACAGGGTATCGCCTTCTCGCCCTGGTAAACGTTTTTGAGATGGTCAGAGACCACCACATGTGGGTCCTCCACCTGTGCATCTGCAAACCCTTCGTCCCAAGCCCCTTGTCCTGAAGCCCTGAGGTCCCGGAAGTGCGTCCAATCACACTGGGAGGCTCGTTGAAGCCTAGCCGCTTCCCAAGCCCTGCGGTCTCGCCTGCGGAGTGCCAGAGCAGTTTTCCAGCAGGCAGCTGTTCGAGATACCCTGGCCCTTCGGAAGGCAGCTTTCGTATCGGGCTTATCGCGGTACGCCAAGCTGGGTTTCGGTTGAGTACAGGTTCGTGCCAATTCGAGCAACTTTGCCGTGTCAAGTTTGTCCACAGACTCAACACCCCCAACCCAAACCCTAGCCCTGGTCATGGGCCTCACAAATTTCGTCGCCCCCCTGATCGCAGCTGTCAGGCTTAGCATGTCATGATCAGTGCCCAGGGTGTAACAAGAATCCACCGAGATATGAACCCCTTTTTGTAGAAGGCCCCTGGTGGCAAACAAATCGATGCGAGACCCGACACGATCCGCCTGTCTCGGTCTGCTCGTAGGCAACGATTGCTGCTGACGAGGCGGCGCTGCCACCAGCAGCCCAAGCTGGAACAGCAGGTCAAGGAGCAAGACAGCCTTACCATCAGCCCCTGCTGCTGTGTCAACGGTAGGCGAAGGAACCCAGGAGAAAGGTGCATTTACATCCCCTTGGAAAACCACTCTCGCCGCAGTAGCAGGTAAGGCACGAAAGAACCCCGCCGCATCAGCATAGTAGTCATTTTGAGTGAGCCCCGGTGGGATGTGAACCGTTCCCATCCAAACCTCCAGACCTGTGTGCAAATGCTTCATACGAACCCAAACCCCTCGTTTGGCCGCCTTTTTTTGAGTGATACACCAAACCTCCGGATGAAACATCAGACCCACCCCTCACCATTGGCCAGGACTTCTGTACTGAACACACCTCCAGCCCTGTAACGAATGTGACTTCCAGCCATGGCCTATTCGGGGACACTCCTGCAGCAAGTGAACTCTTTCACGGTTGCGCACCCGAAGTGCTTCATGCACAGCCCCCTGCACATCATCCAAAGGAGCCCCTCCTAGGTTCCATCCGACAATCTGCAGTGAAAGTAAAGGTTCAGACCCTTCGGCATCGGCAGGCTTAGCCAGACCGGCGCCAGATGAACGAGCCACCGATCGCAGCGTCTCAAAGGACTCTGAAAGCGATCAGTTTCGATGGCTCCCCAGCAGATCCCCTAGCTCTGCAGTAGAAAGCCCTGACTCCAAAGACCAAGCCCGAAGGTCAACCCAGGGCCGAATCACGAGGCGATCATCATAGAACATGTGTTCCGAGCTGACATTGTCCGGAGGAGATCGTCTAGCACTTGCAATCATGCTCTCGCCCATCCAAACAGTCCCGGAACCATACTCGACATCCAAGCGATCCACAAAACCCTGTCCCTTGCTGGCCATGACCCGTTTAATCCAGGAGGCGTGGCCTGCCACATCCCTCTCCGCCTTGGTCTTAGAATACGAGCACCAGAGACGTTTGCCGTGGCTGGTGACCGCTTTGGCTTCAGCAACCCCAATCACCAGCTTGTGCATACGGGCCCGCGTGTCAGACATGGTTTCACCTGACCGCACGGCAAAGTTCTGCAAAGCAACCGAGCGCCTCGGACCAGTGGTGAAGGGAGCCGAATCAACCATCCCAGCTAGCCCTAGCTTGTCAATGGCTTCCTTTACCTCAGCCAGGATGACTGCCCTCTGGGTGTCTTGCTTCCAACCGCCGTACACCAAAGTCAGGCGGCGGCTCTCCGAATCCCCCGAACCCTGCTTCGCCACACCCCCAGCCAGCAAGTCCTCAAGCTTCTGAAGCCTGGTCTCGACCCCTGCAACCCTTTCTTCAACGTTGTCCTGGCGAAGGCTTGTGTCGACAAGCTTCTTATCAAGTCGCTCCTCAAGCTCTCGAACTGCCCTGTCCAGATGCTGCTGATTGCTGGAAACGATTTGTTTGCACTGCTCAGCCAGCAGCTGCTGCATGGTGACCATATCCAGGGACACGGACTGCCCGGCAGAACCCCCGGACCCCAACCCCAACCCTGGCGGTGCCAACGGCTGCTTATTCTTAGCCCCCGCCTCACGGCGGCGCTTGGGGCTCTTGGCTTCGTCCTCCTCATCGTCCGTTGTAGGGACCGGGGGCATTTTCTGATCCCCCAGTCGCAAACCTGCAACCCCAGACATGATCACTCAGCCCAAGGCCTGGGGAAAAGCAATCCCCCGCAGGTACCGGTGCCCAAGGAGAACCAGGGGGGCCTTGAGCCAAAATGGTTTACGGTTTCAAGGTTTTAGGGTTTTAGGTTTTAGGGTTTAGGGTTTACGGTTTAAGGTTTTAGGGTTTTAGGGTTTAAGGTTTTAGGGTTTAGGGTTTACGGTTTAAGGTTTTAGGGTTTAGGGTTTAAGGTTTTAGGGTTTAGGGTTTACGGTTTCAAGGTTTTAGGGTTTTAGGTTTTAGGGTTTAGGGTTTACGGTTTTAGGGTTTTAGGGTTTAAGGTTTTAGGGTTTAGGGTTTACGGTTTAAGGTTTTAGGGTTTAGGGTTTAAGGTTTTAGGGTTTAGGGTTTACGGTTTCAAGGTTTTAGGGTTTTAGGTTTTAGGGTTTAGGGTTTAGGTTTTAGGGTTTAGGGTTTAAGGTTTTAGGGTTTAGGGTTTACGGTTTCAAGGTTTAGGGTTTACGGTTTAAGGTTTTAGGGTTTTAGGGTTTAAGGTTTTAGGGTTTAGGGTTTAGGGCTTGGGACCCTTATGGTCCTTAGCGGGTATTTGTAACCCACGGCGCTTTGGGGGTCTAGAGTCGAGGTGAGGGGCACCGTAGGAGTTGCTGGCGGGCTTGGGGTTACAGGGTGTGAGGGTCCGTATACCTGCCTACTTTGGCCTTAAAGAGCTTGCTACATGGGGGTTTCCGAGATTAGGGGACCCTAACATAGTACCCTAAATAGAAGGATCCTGATTATAAGGACCCTAAAATAAGGTACCCCTACAGTAATTTTCTGAAACTCCCACATAGATACCTTAGGCGCAAAGCTCACTCTCAACCCTAAACCCTTTAAGCCCTAAACCCTACTCTCTGCGGTGAACGCCAAACCGCACCGGAACTCCAAACCCTGCACTCCTCGGGAAACAACGGGGCTAAGAAACTCGAATGGGGTATGAAGTATGAACCTGGACCCCAAAAAGTACGTAGAAGAATAGCCCTTATAAGGTTTTGGGCCATTACTTCGAGCCCTAAGAAAACCCCAGATAGATGCCCTGGTTGGGTTGAAGTTTAGGGTACACCGAAAGGATCTGCTGAGGCCTGAAGTGACTCCACCCCAGCAAAAGGCAGCACCTTACCCTTGCATATCCCGACATTCCTAAACCCGACACCACGAAACTCCAAACTGATCACCCTAGTCCCCAAACACCGCGAGCCTAGAGGACTTAATAAAGCCGCAAAATCCTGCACCATAAAGCAATGCAAACCGGACCCTAAAGAATCTACCCTGGTTTTTGGGGATTTATGCCAGGAAATCAGAATAAGGAACCCTAAATTTATAGAAGGAAATCATAATAAGGAGCCCTGAAAAAGGTAGGTTCTTTAGGGCCAAGGAAGTCGCCAGAAACCTTGGGACCTCGCCCTGAGCATCTCGAAAGCCCCGATGAGGCCCCGGGCGGCGCCGAGGGGGCTGAAAACCCAGAGTCAGACGGACCAGCCTGGGCTGAGATAAGGGGTTTAGGGTTTAGGGTTTAGGGGTTTAGGGTTTAAGGGTTTAGGGTTTAGGGGTTTAGGGTTTAAGGGTTTAGGGTTTGGGGTTTGGGGTTTAGGGGTTTAGGGTTTAGGGGTTTAAGGTTTCGGGTTTAGGGGTTTAGGGTTTAGGGGTTTAGCGTTCTTAGATTTAATATAAGGGCCTTAAACATTAGAAGAGGGTTCCTTTAGAGGGGTCCTTGAAGGGTTGCTATAAGGGCTACTATAAGGGTAGTATAATATAAGGGCCTTATAAATTGAGACTTAATAAGACTATACTGCACAAAGCTATAATAAGGAACCCGTGTTGGCAATTATTAATGAGGCCCTACATAACTGGTGTTACTATAGGGCTTAGGCCAGATGTATCGTTCTATAGAACTAGAGCATTATGGGTCTCGACATCTGGCCGTAGCAAAAAGGACCAAAGGTTTGGGCTCCGCGGTAAGGGCCGACGTCTGGAACCAAACCCTACGATATAGCAGTCCCAGAAACTTAAATGGTGTATCAGCTCCCTTAACTTAGTTGCTGAGTTCATAAGCCCAGCAAAAGTGCACAGTAAAGTGTATCCACTCAGCTACTAAGTTCAAGGAGCCCTTGTGGGCACAGGGGGTTTGTAACCAGCTAGGCACAACCCTAAACCCTGAACCCGAAACCCTGAACCCTAAACCCTAAATCCTAAGCCCTGAACCCTAAACCCTAAACCGACCTGCACAAACTTGATCGGTCGACTGGGGAGCCGGGCCCTGGCAGACACCTGCAGCGGCGAGGCTGGTAATAATTTAGGGCTCCTTCAGGGTTCCTTTAAAGGGATCCTTAAGGGTTCCTTTAAAGGGATCCTTAAGGGTTCCTTTAAGGGATGTATAAGGGATCTACAAGGTTTAGGGTTTAGGGTTCCCAGACCTTCCAAAATCCCTTAAGTAAGGAATATACCTTAAATTATAATCGGATCCCTAATATGAATTAAGGTATACTCCTTAATTAAGGGATTTTGGAAGGTCTGGGTACTGCCCCCCATACAGTACAGCTGAAGCCTACAAGTTGGAAACCCTATAGCCCCAATCCTTAAGAGCCACGTATAGGGAATCCCAGCACTATTTGGCCTTAATCCGGTTTCGAACTTTATGGGGTTTACAGTAAGAGTCTATAGTAGGGCTACTACTAAGGTCCGAATATATCTATATTTTGAATGTTATTCAACCATTTCTGAGTGGGGGCCGTACCCAAGTGATAATAATACTCATCATACTAAGTAATACTGCCAACAGTACCAGTGCATAATACTACTAATAGTAATCATAGTCCTGATAACAGCAATAGTAAGAATGCTGGTCCTATTGTGGTAAAGGCAGTAGCTCTTGTTTGGGCATTTTGGTGCAGAAGATCGCTTCAGAGCGTCCTGCTGGCGTCTTACTGCGGTCCGTGATCTCTGACATGTCAAGGGTCGATGGCGATCAGGAAAAGCTTTCCGCAGAGGTCACATCCCTCTCTTTACTCAACGCCCAGGACCCCCACATCACCTTTCGTCATCATGAATATCTTTTCACTGTGCCAGTCATCACCTTCATCGCCATCATCGTCAGCACCAGACAACTGTGATGGCCGTCATCTGCACCCTAGCGCATGCTTGTACCCGGTTATCAAGGACTCCGTGTTGCCCTAAACCCTAAACCCTAAACCCTAAACCCTAAACCCTAAACCCTAAACCACAAAACTTAGCCTACACGCCTCGGCAAATCATGGGCGCAAGAGCCCACCAACTCGAAAGCAAAAGCAGACACAAAATCCTAAAAGGGTTTAGGGTTTAGGGTTTAGGGTTTAGGGTTTAGGGTTTAAGCTCGAAAACCCAACGACAAAACAGTTTGAGGTTTGTTTGGAATTTATGGTTTTGGGCAGGTCTGGGTTGAGGGTTTGAAGTTGAGATCGTCCGAGTTGGGCGAAGTCGGTCCGGGCCTAAGATAATTGAAGCCTTATGAGGCCCTGACCGACGGAAGCGCCCGGGGGGGCGGCGGCGCGCTGCGTTTCGGGCCCGGCCCTGGAGTTTTGCATCTTGCTTGGTCCACTTTTGCAAGGATTTCGGGTTTAGGGGACTTGAGTTAAGGGTTTAGGATTTAGGGTTGAGGGGGTTAGGGTGTAGGGGACTTGTGTTCAGGGCTTAGAAGTTTGGGAGGCAAACAATCAACTTAAAACTCCTAGACTGCATGTAAGCCGTGCCTTAAGCCACAAGTGCCCACCCTTCGTTTTCCTGCGGCCTTGCGACAACTCATTGGAACGGAAAACGATCACACCTCTACAGTTTTTTAAGGGTTTAGGGTTTAGAGAGTCCAGAATGCAAAGCGGGAGCTATATCCGCGACTGTGCAGGCAAGTGATCCGTCAAGGAGACCCTCCCACAAAGCGACATAGAACCCCGTCAACACCCCTGTACCACCAGTGTAGAACAGTGAAAAACCATTTTCTGACACTTACTATAGCAAAAAAGGGGCCGACGATGGTTTGCTGGTATTTGTATGATAAGTAGCTGGAAGGAAAGGTATCAAATACCAAAAATCCTTCAGGCCCCAAAGTAACAGTAAGTCCCCTAAAACCCAAAACCCGGGTCCTGCTGGCAGTGCTCCCGGCGCTGGGGGGGGTGCCTTCCCGCCCGGAAGGGCCTCCAATTGATAAAGAGCTCTATAAAAGGGCTACTGTAAGGGCAATCAGAAGGGCCACTCCAGTCCTACTGTTGATGATATAAATCCTGCATAACCCATAAGAAGGCTTTTACCATAATTCCCATAGTCTAGGGTCATTAAGGTCATGCAGGATTTATATCATCAACCGTAGGAGGTTCTTTCTCGGCCTCTTTCAAGCTTTTTGCGGTGTCAGGGGTCTGGGGAGTGGGGCTCTACCTACAGTCTCCATTGTAGTTCCTTTCTTTTGGTTTAACCAATTCTAAGTTAAGGATCCTATAAGGTAACCCCAAAAAGGAACTCCAATGGAGACTATAGGTAGGGCTTAGGATTCATGACAGGTTTAGCTTGAGGGCTAGGGTTCCGGATTTCGGGCTCGGGACCCATTCAACAGGTCGTGTTTCGGAATCTCCCCGGGTCGAAAGGCTCCCATACTATGTTTGGTTTAGGCTCCAAGGCTTTGACGGGCTTCAAGCTTTCCAGGAGATTGGGATCAAAGAAGAAGGTTGCGGTTTTGAACCAAGTATTCAAGAACCTGCACACTTCGCCTGGAGGATTTTGTGCGACCTTCTGGACAGGTTCAGGGCTTAGCGTGAGGTTGTGAGGCCTAGTTGCATTCAAACCCTTGTCTTAGTCCCTGAACCATCCCTCTGCAGCGAAGGTTCGGAGGGGGCTGCTGGCACGGACGGCTTGGGCAACGCGCCCTGACTTGGGTGATTTTGATTATGACTCGATTTGGTGTCGTGCACGTACGATTGTAACTGCATGTATACTGATATGCGTGTATTTCTACACACATACATACAGATAAATAAATAAATATATATATATATATATACACATATATATATATATATATATGATTTGTGAAGAAAAAAGACGCTGACGACGACGAGGATGATGATCGTGGTGATGAGGATGATGATGGTGACGATGATGATGACGATGACGATGATGATGAAGTGATGCACATTGCTAAGCCTGGTTGTCTCAGTACTTGCCATCTTGTGATTGTGATTTTCGCTATGCCTACCAGGTTGTATGAGGAGTTCCCCTGTTCTCGATGCTATGACTGTGCATCACTGCACAACCATTATGGCAATGCCTGGCTCTTACTGACACCACTGCTGCTATTGTGATCATCAATCTGTGAAACATGTGTATGGGGTCGTTGAACGGCTTTAGTGCTGCGTCTGTAAACTCGACCCTGCCTTGATAATTAGAAGAAAGGGGAGTTGGTGTATTCATGCTTGCACTTTGTAAACTATACTCAGAAAGTATGTAGACTCAGGGGACCGTGCAATAACCATCCACAACCGGACTCTTGCCTGAAACTTGATTGGACTCTCGAGCTCTCCAGTGTCGGCCCGCGGCCCTTCTTTCCCCTACCCGCCAGCCCCAAACCGAACATGTTCCGGAAACTACACCCTAAACCCTAAATCCTAAACCCTATACCCTAAACCCTAATCCCTAAACCCTAAGCCCTGAACCCTAAACCCTATAAGCCCTAAACCCTGAGCCCTAAATCCTAAGCCCCGCCTCGCCGGGGCCACGCCCCATGTAAAACAGCGCAGGCAGATAATGGAGTCTTTTGAAAATTAGGGGGTCCCGTATCTTGGTATCCCTATAAGAAGGATCCTACTCGTACCACCTAGGGTACTATATTAGGGGGTCCCCTATTTTCGCAAACCCCCGTATGCTCTTCAGGCATGTGAGTCAGCACCGCAGTGTCTTTAGAGGGGTGTGGTGGCTTTACAGTAGTAGCTCTCAGGGCGGGCTTTTACTGCGGAGCCTCCATAGTTAAGGTATTAACTAACGTTCTAGTCCTTAACATTCCTGATTATGGCTGTAGACTACCCCGAACCCTAACACCAAACCCTCGAAATCCCAAGCCCCTGTAGTGTAGGGCCCACGCACCGCCAGGCAGGCCAACCGGAGCCGCAGGCGCACCCCCGGACCTGGCTTCAGAGAACTTCCTTTAAGGCTTGAACGGATGCATTGGCCTCTAAACCCGAAAGGGCACAAGGCTTGCCGTGCACAAGGGCTAATTGGCTAATTGGGTTTTCGGGTTTCGGGCTTTAGGGGTTTAGGGTTTAGGGCTTTAGGGTTTCGGGCTTTAGGGGTTTAGCATTCAATTAAAGGGTCTTGGGGTTAGGGTTAAGGAACACCAATAACTCCGAAGCCGAGACGAAAGCCAATAACCAGACATGTCGGATGCGACGACCAAGCCTGTGGAAATGAGCCCTGAAATGGGACTGGGGGGGGCACCCCACTAGGGTCCGAATTCCTATGCAGGATGCCCTGCACAACAGTACGTGCAAAACAGTCGGAACCATAAGTCGAATTGGGCTCAGAGGAGTAGACCTAGATGATCCTTCTTGATGCAATACGTGAGGGCATGTAAGCCTGGGCTAGCTGCTACAGCGAGTCCGAACCATGGAACAACCGGCCTTGGGCCAACTTATGGGTTTGGATGTTTTTTTTTGGAGGGGGGGTATGGTGTAGTATAACATAACTCTAGTGGGGAAGCCTGGGGAGAACTACTACCGATTACTGCCCAGGCTTCTACATTCCCTACGGGTCCATGTACCCATATAGAGATACATGAGCCCAAAGTACCTATATAGGGACTACATATAAGGCCTATGTATAAAACAACAGGCCTGACCGACCTACGAAAGGATCCCGGCGTCTAAGACACGAAGTTTCAGTCGGTAAAGTCATGCAATGAGGGGCGGCAGCGAAGTCGGTGCCGCTGCGTAGCCTGCAAGCTCTTACTAGATTTACTTGAGGGGCCTTAAATGGCTTTGGGGTATATGATGCCCAAACATAGCACTATTAACAAGGACCCTGAGGATTATTGTAGGTAGCTATTCAGCCGTCACTTGTGAGGTTTACTTGCTGTTACGCATGCCGATAGACCGAAAACTAGCTCGTAAGGTCTCGTCGCAACTTAGAGCTCTGACTCGGGGCTTCGGGCCCTAACGCTATTATCAACCCGAGCCCTAGACAAAAACCCAAGAACGGAAACCCTGAACTCTGAACCAAAAGGAAATTGGCATTCTTTGTATACCGGCAGTTTTTCAAGGCCTTGTCAACGGCCTAACTCAAGTCAGGGCCTGACGTGTAAAACCCTATACACTCCAACGGCCGACACTGAAAGTAATGTTTGCAAAGATCGGATGTACCCAGGTCGTGGAGATATTCGGGAAGTGCATGTTGGGTTAGGTTGTTTTGCACAGATTGTGGGCTACAGATCACGCTTCTACAGTTTAGGGCAGATCGCTGGCGAAGCGGCAACTCTATCCCATGCGTACGCTGAGTCAACACTCCACCGAGCTTTGCTAAACTCAGCAGCCTACACAATACTTGGTAATCTACACAAAGAAGAACCCCAGTGTCCTCCAAGACCTAAGCACCAGGGCTACATGCTAAAAAGGCAGAGCCGTGACCCCAAGCCGATATTGGCTCCCTAGAATACGACTCCCTAAGGCTTTTATGAGGCCGACATACAAACTTGATATCCAATGACATACACTCTGCCCCAGTGCGCCCAACTAGCCTCTGCGATTCCAAAACCTTTCAAACGCCCTTTTCCCCGAACCCTCTTTGGGAGTTTCCGACATTTAGGGGTACCTTCTTCTGGGGTCCTTATAATAAGGATCCTACCATTTAGGGTACTATGTTAGGGTCCCTTATTATTTCGGAAACCCCTATTTGGAGCACAGGGCACGAGGCTACGCCCTGAACAAGGCCCCCAGTAAACATCACCTTGGTCGAAATGGGTGTTTCAGAAAATAGGGGACCCTAGTATAGTACCCGAAACAGAAGGATCCCTATTATAAGGACCCCCAAATAAGGTACCCCTCATTTTCGGAAACTCCCAAATCACAGTACGTAGTTGGCGTAAGCACTCAGAGACTAGCCGAGCATCGCCAGGTCCGATAGCACTTGACTGCCCCAAAGCCGTAAGACACCAGACCCTAAATTCCAACATACCCCGAAGCCGTCAAGGCCTAAATTGTAAATTACTCCGGCCATACAGCTTGGACATCAAACCCTAAACTGGGTTCTCTTGATTCAGGTCTGTCGAGGGCCTCTAGCTCAGGCGTCTTAAGGTTTGGTGTATCGATACGGAGGCTGTGGGGTCTAGGCTAGGGCTTCCAGTTTGGGCTTTTCAGGCTGTGTGGTTGAGGATTCTGGTTCGGATGTGATTCTTCTGGGTTCAAGGATTTCTGGCCTCGTCTTGTCTGAAGCGCTTCGTGCGTCAAGCCCTAAACACTAAACCAGTAATCTACGAGAGCTTTCCCCAATTGCGGCCTCCTGCTTTCGGTGGTCCCCCCGGAAGCTTGGTCGGGGCCTGAACGCACCCAGACTCTTCCTAGCTGTTCTGCTGGGCTGTCGGTACAAAGTCTGACATCCTTCGAAACATTAGCGGCATAAGTAAATAGAATACGGTGTTTGGGTGCATTACAGTCGAGTTATCATGACGAACCCGGGAACCCCAAGGAATGATGTTGGTAATTGTTCAGGCTTCTAGAATAACCAGACCCTGCTGGAAGGCACTTCTGACATAGTACATAGTGCTCACTCCAATCACTGCAAAAATTCGCATAACCCGTCCACAACCCCTTAGTTGCTAACTTGAAGGCGCAAGTTCTACGGAGTGTCTACAATGTCTACAACTTCCAGGATCTTCTCCATAGCCCTTCGACTACTCGTGAAACCGAGCGGAATTTGTAGCGGAATATATCCCAAACCTCCAGATCTCGCTCCTGAACCCATGAAGAGTCAAAACAGCCGTCTAGGCTGTTGGCGGGCCTCCGTATCCTGCATACTTTTGCACCCCCAAAAAGCTAGAAGTCCTAGAAGCAAGCCGGGAGACATAATAAACCGCATCGGCCCGATGCGAATCCAGGATAAACCCTGTAGAAATCCAGCTGAACCATAAACCCCAAAACCGAAGCCTGAACATTAAAGCCCTGGACCCGAAACCATGAAGAAACCCTACACCCTAACATCAAGCCCCAAACCCCTAAACACTCCGAAGCCCAACTCGTAGACCGAGCCCCGGGCGCTCGGCGCGCCGGACTTCGGCAGCGCGGTGGGGGGCGGCGGCGGCATGGCTTGGACTGAAGGCGAAACAGGATCCCGGATCCTTAGGATCCTGTATGGTTTTGGAGGTTTACTAGCATGGTGAGTGGCCGAGGCTTTCAGGGCTAAGGATTTTGACAGCTTTAGGACTGTCGGGCTACCCCTGAACTGGGAGTAGAGGGGTTGAGAACTCCTCGTAAGAACTTGTTGCAGGACGCGTGCACGGTGCGTAAAGGGTGTGTAAAGGTTCGAGATATGGTGTTGGGTTGATGGCTCAAGGTTTGGGGTTGGGTTGGAAGACTCTGCTATGCTCCTGAGCCCAAAACACCCTCATTTCTGAGATCCTACCATATCCTACCTAGACCTTCATGTGGATAATCTGTTTAACAAGACAAGTACTTCAACTCAGTGTCGAGGTAAACCTGAAAGCCGTCGGGATGACACTTGGCGCAGCACCGCCCAGCTGTCGTTTCGCATGCGAGCCGGTGCGAGCGGTGAAATTTCTAGCATCTCTTATAGCCTTCGAGGCCTAGAGACTTCATGGCTTACTTCAGGGTTGAGTGTTTTGGGAGTAGGTTTGGCACACAGGGTTAATCAAGAGCCACTTCTGATTCACCTCCCGTCCCAACTGTAGAAGGAGAGATTCAAGCTGGCCGAGACGTCCTCAACAGCCCTTCCTTGAGCATTTTGCAACTGAAGGGATGGATAAAGTACGCGTAGGGATTGTTATGTGACTGTGTTATGGGGGGTTACCTGAACTTCAAAATGCCCAGTTGTCCACCATGGAAAAAAGCCCCAGGGGTAAGGCTCTCCCGGCCATACGCGCATCCCTGCCTAAGTTTACCCCTGAAGCTTAGCCCACACAGCTTCATGACAGTTTCAGTCGGGAGGAATTGAAGGCCCGTCACCGGGGGCACGCTGCAGGTTTAGGGCGTATAGTATAGCCAAGTCGGATTGACTTTTTGAGGGTCCACGAATACTACGCATCTTCACATCCCAAGCCCTCCGGCTGGCGACAAGGCGGAAGAAAGAGGCTACTGTTCTTCTGCCTCTACGAGGGTCATTTTGCTAGTGGTTCTCATGAGCGATTAGGTTTCGTGTTTGAAAAACCAGCTAACTCTGAACACGGAACCCATAAGCTAAGTCAATCCCGAAACACCCTTTAGATCCCCCCCATTGGGGCACGCAGTGTACTTGAGCAGCTGCTGCTTGAGCTTCTCGTCTTCCGGCCTTGTATTATTTTGTACTTCCGTGTTTAGGGCTCAGGGCTTCAAGCGTACAGTTTGAGGTTTACTTTGCTGAGGGGTACTGCTACAACATCTCGAAAGAAGCGTAGCAAAGGGCTTGCATTGTCTGTGAGGTTCAGGTCTCTAGAGCTTCGCACTCCTTTTCACTGGGTTTTGAATGCAGAGATTCAGTGTATGCAGAAGTAGCAGCTGTGCAGCGGCCACTTTGTGCATGTTTGCTTACCTATGCTGCTACCGGCCACAAACCTCTCTGCATGTGTGTGTGTGTGTGTGTCTCTGTGTGTGTGTGTGTGTGTGTGCGGGTGTGTGTGTGTGTGTGTGTGTGTGTGTGTGTGTGTGTGTGTGTGTGTGTGTGTGTGTGTGTGTGTGTGTGTGCGCGTGTGTGTGTGTATACATATATATATATATATGTACACGCATGTCTGTATGTAGTTATGTATGTAATTACATATGTATGTATGCATGTATGCACGCGCATGTGTGTATCGTGTACAAAAACGAGGACAGAAGCCTCAGTAGAAGTATAGGACTCGTGCAAAACAATAGTTATGGCGTAAACAAACTAAGCTTCATGGTCTAGCATCCAAAGTGCTGGCTGAGTGATTGGCGCTTGGTATGCGGTGCCCTGATCCTAAACCGATCAAATCCCAAAGAAAAACTCGAGGGTTTTAAGTTTTGGGCCGCATAGATGCAGTCGCATGCTGCACATGCCTTCATGTGTAATTACATGATTGCATATGTGTGAGTGTAAAATAAAACACATGATCAACAAATTCAAACAAAAGAATAACTATCTATCTATGCGCAAGAACGGAAGATCGGGTGAGGATAAGGCTTGATTTGGGCTAGGCAGGTTATCTTATATACTGAGGCCCAATGAAATCTCGACCACTGTAAAGCATAAACCCATCTCCCCGAGCTGAATCCCTCAACCGGGCACCCTCAACTTGGACCCCCGTAGACCTAAGGCGCCAGCAGAAGGTCGTCCACAGTGGCCTTCCCCTGACAACAGCGCGTCAACATTTGCAGAAAAAAACAGATGTATGGGCCGGGAGTTTAGGGTTTAGGTCATGTCTAAGTTTGGGGTTTGGGATTTATACAGCTGGCAATGGCAGGGCTTCTGTTGTCGAGGTTGAGCCTGACCTCTACTTCTTCGGGTTCGTGGTGTGCCACCTGGTGCCCAAGAAGCACCAGCTGGAGTCGAAGGCCTTCAACCAAACACCAGAAAGCTCTAATTGTAGTTGCTTTCGTTGCCTGAACAAAATATATATATATATATATATATATATATACATATATATATATACATATATATATATAGATAGGTGTATGTATTTACACGCACACACGCACACACACACACACACATCCTGCTATCCCTTGAAGGAAGTTAAGCATATGTCCATAACAAAGAAACTGTAGACTATGTAGAAGAACACTCAGGCCTGCTTGCTCGCACTTGTACTTACTCTCGCCCATCGTCATGCAAACTAAGAAACACTCAGGGTCTTGGAGATCTAAGATGCACACATAATGAAAAGTTCGGAAGACAAGCCGCAGACAACTCGAGATACTTCGTAAGTTTGAGCCCCATGACACCGCTCCAAAAAGTGTCAGAATCCCCTGAACCCTTAAACCCCCTGAACCATAAACCCCACACTCTGAATCCGAATACTAAACCCCTAAACCCCCTGAACCCTAAACCCTACACCCTAAATCCGAATCTTAAACCACAAACCCGAACCCCCTGAACCCTGCACACTACAGGCCGATCTCCGGTGGCAGGACGCCTGCAGCCGAAGCCCTAGGTCGGGAACCACGAAATGTACGTCCTGCAATTACTTGGCGGTTCATGGGTAGTTACAAAGTAGAGTTATAAGTCCCCTAATATGGGTTACCCTACTTATAACACTACTTATAACTTCCAAGCAGGGTTTACATATACAGCTTAGGGTTTGGGGTTTGGGGTTTAGGGCCTTCTCATAGAGCTTAGGGTTTTAGGGTTTACGGTTCATAAAGCTTCGGATGTATTTTAGGGTTTAGCATGAGGGTTCAGGGCTTAGGGTTTACACTCCAGAGAGCTTTGGACTTGGGTTTTGGGTTTGGGGTTGCAGGGCTTAGGGCCTAATGGGCCTAATGTAGTGATTCAGGATATGTAGGAGCCAGAAAGCAAAGCTCAATGCATTCGGCTTCGGATGAAGGTTCTAAGTTTGGGGTTTTGGGGTGAGGGCTTAGGCTAGGGCCAAGGGCTTCAGGCTTATAGACTTCAGGTGCGGCCTTCGGTCTGGTGATTTGAGCCTCAAACCTCTAACCCGAACATGGTACACGTAGAGGTCTATATGGATGCACTAGGCTGAGGGTCCTCTATATTCTAGCATCCTGGAGGAACTCTCTTTACAAGACCCTACGAGCCTTGAAAGAACCTCAAGAGAGCAACCGAACACCTGTAGAAACCTGATTCACCCTAAACCCCCTAGACCCCTAAACCCTGAACCCCAAACCCCAATTCGGATCGAGCCCCTGATGTGACGATGTCCGATTGCTCCTTCACGCTCTCCATGCCCAAACTCTGCTCGCCGCCGGCATTCTCGATGAACCTCAGCTCCATCTTCAGGCGCCGAGGACTCATCGGGAGCTTTAGAAACTTGGTCAAGGCCCGAAAATCCTAGGATCGATGCTATAAAGACCCCTGTTACCTAAACCCTCCATACAGTCGACGTAGAAACTCCTGAGGCTGGCACAGTCACACTGAGATCTTGAGCATTCCATACTTTTGTTGCTATTTTAGTAAGGAGCCCTACAGGGATAGTAGTCCCGGCTATTGCCCCCTTAATTTCGGGGCCTTAATAATTAGAATAGGGTTTGGGGGTCCATAATACTCACTAAAGTATAGGTAGTTATTTTAAAGCCCCTACAGAACAGTACATAAGCCGCTGGGGTTTGGAGCGCTTGTCCGGAGCAGGAGGATCGGGTTTTGTTCGTAGTTTCAGCTTGGGTGCTGGGCCTTCACGTTTGGGAGTCGGAGCTTGAGTTGGAGATGAGGGTCTCATAGGGACGCTTAGGGGGGTAGGGGAATGGGGGGGGGGGGTAGGGGGCCTTAATGCCCACAGTGCCTGTCCCAACTACACCAAGCTTTGACTTGTGCATGTAGCCTACTCCCGGGAACCTAAAACGTCAACAGAACTTTCGGCTGAAACACACACACACACACATGCATGTGAATCGGTTTAAGGCATTATATATGCAAACATATATGTATATATAAATACATATATATATATATATATACATACATAGATATATATATATATATATATATATATAGTGATTCTAGGCTCGAATGTGCTCAGTGATCTTGGCACGACCAAGGCCGGGTTCTTGTACCTCGGAACATGGAACTTTCACATTGAAAAACCAACACCGAAGCCCCCAAAGTCTTTACGTGCTGGGTGATGGAAATGCTGCAACAGCTCAACTTTCAAGGGGCCCGAAAAAAGCACAGAAGCATAAGGACCGCGCGATCGAGCCCTAAACGAAAAACCCTAACCCCCCCAGATGCTGAACCCCTAAACCCTGAACCGCTACATCCTCGCGCTCAGCTGGTCGACGCAAAGCGCCACGGGTTCTCGCCGGCCAACCAGTTCAAGCATTGAGCTCTGTATGTCCTCACCGTCCATGCATCTTTCATCTGTGGGTTGATACAAGGAAGCCCTAAGAGACAATATTGGCGAATTTTTCAGGCTTGTTCGCTTGTGCGGAGTCAAGGGGGGTCGCAAGTTGCTTATAGGGGTTAGGTCTTAGAGGGGTGAGGGTCTAGGGCTTGACGTAGGGTTTTGGGCTCTGGCTTCAGGTAGGGTATCGGAGCTTAGGAAAAAGGGGCAGGGGTGTAGGGTTTGTGCGAGCTGCATGGACTCGTCTTGGGCTTTGGGGTTTTATAGGGTTTAGGGCTTTACGCCCTTGTACAGGGGTTAGGCTTTAGGGTTTGGGTAGGTTATCAATCCCAGCCCCAACTCACAAACCAAAAACCGCATCTTCATCATCTCTCCGTAAATTCGCGTTCAAGAGCTCTGGCGGTAGGACCCTGGCGGATTTCAGCAAGTCATTCCAAAAGAACATGGTTTTAGTCGATCCGGACTAAACCTATAAACCTTAATTCCTAAATCCTAAACCCTATAAACCCTAAATCCCTACTGAACCCCCCCACAATATCCCTAAGCCCTACATCCCTAAACCCATACTACTCCTAAACCTTGCATGCCTAAACCTATAGTACCCCTAGGCCCTAAACCCCTAAACCCACAATACCCCCAAGCCATAAACCCCAAATCGTAAGAAGCCAAGCGCTCCTGTAGAGACGGTGCATCTCCGTGACACTTTCCGACAAGCTTTCAATCTGCTTGTTCAGCTCCTTGCAAGGAACTCGGGTGACCCCTCTCGTTTTCTTTCTAGGCTCCTTGCAAGGAACTCGGGAGGTGACCTCTCTCGTTGTCTTTCTAAAAATTTGTTTTTGTGTGTTTAGGCTCAGCTTTGGCGGTTTAGGGCTTCACCTCCTGTGAACAAAGCGTCGAGAGACGACCCTGCAGCTGAAATCCTGGGAACCCTAACCCGAGAACGAACAGGTCGGACTCGGCCATTTCTCTGTGTGACCTGAGTTTGCGGTTTAGGGTCAAGGGCTTTTCTGTGTTGCATGGTTTTGGGTATGGGGTCTTTGGGTTTTGAGCAAAGCGCTACCATGGCTTCAGTCGCTCCTTTCGGAAGGTGCCCACGTTCATGACAAGCATTGTGAGGCAGCAAACGACGATGCACCTGCACAGGCTTCAATGTGGAGTGTTAATGATTTCAATTGGGGCCAATACCTTAAGCCTTAAACCTGCATTTTAGAAGATGGCGCCGACATAGTATCAACAGAAGCTCGCCTACAATCCCTGAAACTAGCAATCAAACATTGAAGCCAAAACCATAAGCCCCAAACTCCAGTAACACGACAATCCCCCAATCTTCGACGCTACAAAAAAACCACTCCCTTGAACGATATGCATCGCGGAGCATGTTCCTTCAAGCTCGTACGGCTAACGGATGTGGGGGGCAGGGAGGAAGCACGGGTTTTCGAGTGGCTTGCAGATTTAGGATTCTGACGGGTCTTAGGGTGCAGGGTTACATAGAGTTCGGGGTTTAGGGATCCCGCACATCATACTTGAACCACTTGCGCATTCAGCAAAGGTGGGGCAAACCCGCTGCCGAAGTACATCTTGGACGAGCTCCAAATTACGCTCAATCGCAGCTGCGCTGAACCCCTGGCTACTCAAGCACCACAGTTCTACAGCACTAATTACAGCTTATTGTGCCCAACCCAAGCCCACGTGCCCCCTCAACACACAAACTAACTGAAGACTCAACCTATCGAAGTCAGCAGGTGAGAAAAAACACCCTCCTTGTCTATCCGCCAAGCTAGAATCGCAAGGCCGTCTGCTTCTTTATTTCATAGTTGTGCTTCGGATTCCAAAATTGTCGGTGCCCTCACCCTCTAGCCCGAAGCCTGCAAATCTAAGCCTCCGATCTCTACTCGTCCTAAACCATGAATCCCTACTCTCCTAAGCCTACAACCCGAATACCTTGATCTCATGTAGAAAACAATCCAGGCCGCACTACGTGAAATCCTCAATGTCTGCACTCTTTGCATAGCTATGCCTACATAGGACAATTCCATAAACTCCTAGGAACCGTGAGCTCTAATCTAGGCTCCTCCCAGACGTGAACTTACATGCACTTGGCACCTAGGGCCCCAACTACCCTCCATGCTTGCTTTGGTAAGGCTGGTAAGGGGTAATTGGGGATCGTGATACGGAACCATATTCCTTAACTCTGGAACCCTTACAGTTAATGTTGCAATATCCCTTCTGTAAAACCTAATCGTGTTGAGCTTTAGGAATCGTTTCCCGAGCTCCCAACGCGATGGCGCAAAGCGGCGGTGGCATGCCATCGAACTGCCCAATGCAAAGGAAAAACAGCCTCAGTCTGGGGAGATCTGGGGAAAGCGAGCCTCAGTCTTTGGGGCATTGGGGCCATGCTTATCGACGATTATCGACGACAGCTTCCACACCAACAATTTCTACTAGATGGAAGCCGCGAGACTCACAGGAAAGAAGTCGCGGGAATATGCAGCAAATTAGGCACCCCCCAGACCACAAAACACCCGCACCCCAAACCCTGAACAACAAACTCGGGGAGAAAGCCGAAGTGAAAGTTTCGAGATCCTGGCACCACGCACTTCAGGAAATACACGAAAACGTCCACCTGCGCAGCGAAGATGAGATTGGTATCATGTGGGTAGTTGTCAAAATTACGGCCCCTTTTTGGGTACCCTAAATTTTTAGGTGCCGTATTGTAATTTTGACAACCACCCATGTGACTACGAGTTGAGGAGGTAGTATTGAGTGAGATATCAGTTGCGGGCTGTGGTTTGAGGCTTGTTCGGGAAATGGGGTTTTTAGGGCTTTCCTGGGTAGCTAGATGCAAACCTCGCCCCACCACTCTTCCGCTTCGGTCGCATGGTGCCGCCAAAGGCGGGCTTTGCCACCCGTTCATCCAGAAATGAAGCACTTGAACGATGTCACATCAGATGCGAATCGTGTGAGAACAGCTCACGGTGGTGGGGCCCAGCACGAAGCAAACATAAGGCTCTTACTGCTGCAGCGGATCAAATAATGTGCACAGGGCCTCGAGGCGTCTTATTCTAGACTATACTGATGTATGGGCTGCAATCGAAAAGTCCATGCATATGGAAGCTTCTTCACAGAAAATCGACAAGTCAGTGTAACTGTAAACCCTGCATGCAAGACACGCACACTCGTGCAAGCAGGCTCTGACATCGACACAACTCCTCTGTTCCCCCTAAACCCTAAACTGTAACCGTCCAGCACCGGAGCCCGTCATCCCACATACTGTAACCTCCGTAGATACCCTAGCCTAATTAAATCCGAACCCCCCCCCCCCCCCCCCGTGCCAAAACCCTAGACCCTAAACCTGCTGGGTGCACCTCCAGGAAAGCATCGAGAAGCCCCTTCGGTGCTTTCAGCTTCTTCAACCTCGGCGCCGGTAATGTAGGAGCCTTAATAATTAGAATAGCGTTTGGGGGGTATATTATACTATAATTACACTAAGGAGCCCCTACAACAGTATAGGTAATTACTAAGGCCCCTACATCACATGGCTTTGTTCCTTCTCTTGCTTGTTTTGTTTTTGGGGAGTGCTAGAAGGTTTTACGCAGGCTCAGGGTTTAGGCCCAGTGTAGGCTGCCCATAAAGACTCTACAAGTGTTTATAGAAGTGAGGTTCAGGTATAGTGTGGATTAGGGTGGCTTTAAAGTTTTGTAGGGTTCAGAGGTTGGGGGTTTAGGGCCTTAGTTAAAGGCATCAGAAAATTGAGGGGTTTGGTTGATGAGGACTTATAAGGCTTAAGGCCTTAGGGCGGGGGGCGGAGCTTAGGCTCTGGGCTTTTGAAGTGTTCAACTTTAGCTCGTCGGTGGGGGTTGAACAGGCTAAAGGGATGGGGGTCCAACGGCTCCGGGCTAAGGGGTTTCAGGTTATGGGGCTGTAGGAGTTGGAGATAGTGTGACTTTCGGGCAACTTACCACAGATACTGTGAAGGGACTCAATAAGTTGCACTGTCCCTTGAGTCTCCCTGCCCGGTGAGCTACACAGTATACGACTCTCCTTCACGCCGCCGTGGTAGCTGACCGGCACCGGCTGGCCAGGGGTGTTTGGATCCCGGATGTGCTCGAGAAGGCCTTGAAGGTGGGGCGAACTTCTCTTGCGTTGCGCGTGGTATGCGCCCTCGTCTTGTAAGATGGCTATAGTGGCTTATCGAGGGATGGCGGCATCTGCTGAATCACCTGTTCCAGCAAGCGATGTCACCTCAAGGCGGGGGAACCAGCGCTCCGTTTCAAGCCCTTTGTAACGACATGAAGAATCTTCCGGATGATGTTCGGTCTACTTGCAGAGAGCGCCTGGGACTACGGTCGTCCGTCGTGAATGTCATTGCCCAGGTAATCATCAAAATTCTTCATTGCCGCCATCATCAACATCACACCACGTTCATCTTCGTGTTGTCCATACTAACCCTTCTACATCATCTTCACCGCGGTAGCAAGTTTGGAACCCGTATTTGCAACGATCTAGTTTGGAATGTGACACCTGCTAGGGTCTTTTGTGATGTGTTGCAACTGCCACTTGCTTCTTGGGGGGGGGGCTTGAGGGCAGCGGACCGTGAATCACATATCCTCAACTGCGAAAGCCCCACAGGATCGACATTGACTGCACGTCGCCCGAAGGACATACCTGAATGCCTCTGAAAGTTCAGCATGGAGACCTCCAAACCCCGAGCCCCAGCCCCACATTCTTAAAGCAATACATTTCTACATTCCCACAGGCTGCTGCCTTCCTACACCCCAAACCTACTATCCTAGAATATGGCCTATAAACCTAAACCCCTAAAGCCAAATTGCATCATCTCTGGAACTCTAGAAGCCCCTTAAATCGAAACCTTGCCCTTCAAACCGCAGAAACCCAAGCTCTCAACCCTAAGCTAAACCCTAAACCCTGGGTACTGCCCACTTATACAGTAACAGTCTAGAATAGAAATACGATTATAAAGTCCCATTATATCTATATGATGAATATTCTCCAACTGTTACTGAATGGGGGCAGTACCAAACCTAAACCCAACAAACAACCTGGCTGAGCCAGGTCGGGGTCTGGGAAGCTGGCTTTTGCCTCATTGCCTGGCAGAAAAGGCCAAAGACACACGACAGGCTTATATGGGGGCTGGCTTAAGGTTCAAGGGTTAGTGTTTGGGATGCTCTCGTGTTCGAGGGTTTACGATTCTAATCAACATTACCTGGTAGGGTGCTGAATAGAGTCACCCCGAAACAGCCTCCAATGGCCGGATGCTAGGACTTCAGGGGAACCCTGCTGAAAATCAGCGGACTAGCCAAGCAGGCTCCTTTCAGGGCATCTTACTCAAAAATCATCCTGCCTGTAGCCGAACCACCGGGTCTCCTGATCCTTGTAAGTAACTTGTGAAAAGTCGGATGCCATGAACAGGAGCCCTGCATAAGAGGTCGCAGACTTGTGCAGTCTAGTACCTCGCTACAGAAGCTCTAAACCCGAACCTGCTATTGGTATCGAGTTGACCTTTGTGGGCTGTTGGGCTTTGGCAGGATATGGTGTTCAGAGGTGCAGGGTTTAGGGGCTTTGGGGTTTAGACACCCGAAAACCTCCAGAGCTTGGTGGAGGAAACAGGAACAAAGACCCTCGGCGAACTAATCGCTGGGTTTTACCCTCAGACACTTTGAGGACAAATCCTATAACCAAAACCATTCAAGAGATGACTCCAAACCATTTAACAGATGATAGAAAGAATGGGGACCAATAGAGCAAACCTGTATAAAGGGTTGAAGCCTCAACTTCTGCACAGGTGCAAAGTAGGTAAGGACGTTCATTCTTCCAGAAAACAAGCAATACTCAGAGGAGAGCCGGAAGCCCTAGTCTTACCTTTGGTAAGTAGGGAATGGAGGAATGGGGTGCAATTATGACGACTATTACTACCATTCTTCCATTCCCTACAAACCAAAGGTAAATCTGGAGTATACATTGAAACACTGGGACTCGAAACTGCAGAAGACCTATGACAGAGTTCCACACAGTATTCCAGCCTTGGAGAGTTTGCGGCTGAGATGCCTCTGCAGACCCGACCTTGTTTCCTGGCACAAGCTCCAGAGATGAGGCTTCGAGGCTTCAGGGCTCTCTGTTTCAGGGTTTAGGGTTCAAGGTTTAGGGACCATAAACAGAGAGAGAGAGACATATATATATATATATATATTATTAGTATATATATATATATACATATATATATATATATATATATATATATATATATGACCTGATTCTAGACCCTGAACCAGTGAAATTGTAGGCTGCGGCTTCGAGGGCTTCGGGCAAGAGCCAGATCAGATACCATAGGGGCCCAAATAATTGGACTAGGCTTCCTTTAAAGGGGTCCTTCAAGGGTTACTATAAGGGCTACCATAAGGGAAATATAGTTAACAATTGGAATAGGGCTTGGGGCCCTTTATACTACAACTATAATGATGAGCCCCAAAAATAGTATTGGCAAGTCTTGCGGCCCCTCTATTACTGATCCATGGCACACACAGGCGGAGATAGTTTAGACCTGGTAGCAGTAGGAGTAGTGGCAATAGCAGTACCAGTAGCAGTAGGTAGTAGTTGTCATTGCCCCTTTGCACCGAACCAGAACCACAAGGTTTAGATCCACAGGGCTTTTTCGACAGAGTTGGCTTTTAAAGACTTTTACAGACTTTTAAAAACTTTCAAATGCAAGAAAAAACATTCTAAAAACTTTTAGAAGACTTTAAAAGACTTTTAGAAACTTTTAGAAGACTTTTGCAAACTTTAAAAGACTTTTCAAAACTTTAAAAGGCTTTTAAAATATTTAAAAGACTTTTAAAAACATTAAAATACATTTAAAAGCTTTAAAAATACTTTAAAAGACTTTTAAACGCTTTTAAAAGCTTTTACAAACTTTAAAAAGAATTTGAAATACTTTTAAAGACTTTAAACAACTTTTAAAATTTTTTAAAAACTTTAAAACAAAAAAAACTAATGTTTTTTCCGAGAAGACGAGGATGAAGAAGACCTGGCACAGGGTTTACAGTTTCAGGGTCTTTAGGGTTTGGGGTTAGAAGGCAGAGTGCCATAGTATTAGGGGTTTGAGGGTAATGAAAGGGTTAGGGTTAGAGTTTCAGGGTCTTTATTATATTTAGGGTTTGGGGTTAGAAGGCAGAGTGCCATAGTATTAGGGGTTTGAGGGTAATGAAAGGGTTAGGGTTAGAGTTTCAGGGTCTTTAGTATTTAGGGTTTGGGGTTAGAAGGCAGAGTGCCATAGTATTAGGGGTTTGAGGGTAATGAAAGGGTGAGGGTTAGAGTTTCAGGGTCTTTAGTATATTTAGGGTTTGGGGTTAGAAGGCAGAGTGCCATAGTATTAGGGGTTTGAGGGTAATGAAAGGGTTAGGGTTAGAGTTTCAGGGTCTTTAGTATTTAGGGTTGGGGTTAGCAGGCAGAGTGCCATAGTGTTAGGGTTTGAGGGTAATGAAAGGGTTAGGGTTAGAGTTTCAGGGTCTTTAGTATATTTAGGGTTTGGGGTTAGAAGGCAGAGTGCCATAGTATTAGGGGTTTGAGGGTAATGAAAGGGTTAAAGGGGTTAGGGTTAGTGCCATAGTGTTAGGGTTTGAGGGTAATGAAAGGGTTAGGGTTTTCAGGGTCTTTAGTATATTTAGGGTTTGGGGTTAGAAGGCAGAGTGCCATAGTATTAGGGGTTTGAGGGTAATGAAAGGGTTAGGGTTAGAGTTTCAGGGTCTTTAGTATTTAGGGTTTGGGGCTAGAAGGCAGAGTGCCATAGTTTTAGGGTTTGATAGTATTAGGGATGCACAAATCGCGTGAAGTGGCTACGAACTGCTGGATGTTGCGCTTTTCTGCGTTGACCACACTGTCAAGCGAATCACGTGCAGGCGAAGCAGGGTACAGCTGGGTGACGCGACAACGTCTGGCACTCTGCCTTCCCAGCTGCTGGCACTCTGCCTTCCCGCCTCAAGATCCATTAATTATTGCCACCCCAACTTTGCACTCAGCTGGTCGGTCAAAGGTATTGCTCCAGCATCAAGGTCAGGAAGTTCCCCCGGACCACCGAGACGGATGGCAACAAGTGAGAGGTGTTTCATCTGAAGGACAAACTGCCGTTGTTGTTCATCTTCGTCGTTCCAAACATAAACAAAATCACAAACGAGAGAAACGCGCGGCAACTCCAGCGGTTCTTCTCCTTCACCCACCTGATAACACTTCGGGAAGGGGCCTTGGTACCGTCGAAGAAGCCTGAGGCCTCCTGTAATGCGGGAGCCAATACGTGGCCAGTAACGCAGGTAGCGAACCATGATTTCCCAAGGCACGTCGTCATAAACTTCATTCCATGTCTCAGCTGGTTTCCACTGGTGAGGCGCTTTGGCCAGTTTTTC